TTTTTTTTATATATATATATATATATATATATATATAAAAATAAATAAATATATATATATATATATATATATATATATATATATATATATATATATATATATATATATATTATTATATTATTTATATATATTATTTTTTTATTTTTTTGCTTAAAAAATATCAAAGTTGAGTGATTGAGGGTGAGTAAATGTAAACTTTACATTTTAAGCCAAATATCAATTTAATTTCTATAAATTAAATAAATTTTTTTATTAATTTTTTAATTAAATTAATTTCTATATATAATAAATGTTTATTGTGTAAACCAGTGGTCACCAAACTTGTTCCTGGAGGGCCGGTGTCCTGCAGATTTTAGCTCCAACCCTAATCAAACACACCAGAACAGGCTAATCAAGGTCTTACTAGGTATACTTGAATCATCCAGGCAGGTGTGTTGAGGCAAACACTTTACAATCTCCTTGTGTTCCTGCAATAAGACTCGTTCTGTCTGTGTTTGGTGGTGGTTTTTAACTGCTGTTGTTTATAAAACTATCAATATCTCTGTAGCAGCATGAGTTAAAGGGGTCAGTTCACCCAAAATCGAAAATTTACTCACCCTCATGTAGTTTCTTTCTTTTCTTGAACACAGGAGATGTTTTGGAAACTTGTTGTCACCGACTTCAGTAACAAGGATTAAAAAAATACAGTAGAATTTAATAACTGCTGGCAACATATTTTGTCATATCTTCTTCTGTGATCACAGACATCAAATTTGGAAACTGGGGTCTGTTCTTCGTACCTCGCTTAAATTATCTAAGATGATTTTGCCGATCCTGGATCTTTTAATCTTGATAACTGATCTCTCGCTAATTTGGTTCTTCAAACAAGTTCGCGAATCAGATTAGAATGTCTAGATGAACTGATCTGAGATCGCTCCGTGTGTTGTGAAGGACCGATCTATCGATCCTCGAAATCATGATCAGCAATAAAACGATTGGCTGACGGCACAGCAGCGTAATGACATCATCTGATTAATATTCAATTATCCATGTGAGCAAAATTACATCAAATTAGCAGAAAACGGTTTGTTAAATATGACACGCATTAACTTTCCACATTTGTTATGAGCTGCAGGCTTTACTCTTTCATGTGTCAAGAGTATTTATCATGCATTTCAATGCAAATCAATGTATTTAGTTCTACATTTAGAAAAGATTTTCTCTATTATAATAGCTGTTTTTTTAATCGCTGTATGGAATAACTGGATGTTTACAAAAGCATTTTGATATTGGTAAAGACGTCTACTCATACTCATAAGCACAATCACTGTCATTATATATGTACATATATGTATATGTTATCATTTTATATATATTTCTTTTTCTGTAAACGTCTCTCCATATATATATATATATATATATATATATATATATATATATATATATATATATATATATATATATATATATATATATATATATATATATATATATATATATATATATATATATATATATATATATATATATATATATATATATATATATATATATATATATATATATATATATTTAAAATAGTTACTATTTTCCCAAATGTATATAACTACTATTGTAAGAAAATATCAGAATTCGGTACATACTTTCTCTATTATCTTTGCT